TACACTTACGCCTGTTTTCTGTCTGACAAAAGCTATATATGTTGTTAAATCAAGGGCTGGTGTAGCTAGTTAGATATTGAATTTAATTTATTACGAACTGTTAAACCAAATAACCGATTATAAATTACAAGTTAAGTTTTCTCTAAAGTTAAGTTACCGTAATTAACGTAGACGTGAATGCATTATAACACCCAACTTGCTTATTCAGAGGAAATCGATTCCTCGTTTGCCACTGGCAACTTGTGACGTAATCGCTTTTGAGAGGGGGTGCTGATAAAACGTTCTTTTAGAGCGTGCGCACACCTAAAACTAAACTATCGCACAACTGTTTAGTTGCTTTGATTCATATGAGCTTATATGAAGGTGCGGCGCACACGTGCAAAAAGCAGTTGAATTGGTTGAATCGACAAGTCAAAGGAGTGGGCCCTATTTTTCGCACGCGAATCTTGATGAAATGTGGTATAGATGTTGAGCATAGTCTAAAAGAACACATAGGCTACAGACTTTTGTTTTTTTTTTAATTCCTCGCGTGGGCGATATCTTGTCGTACTATAATTAGTAAGAGGTAGGCTTCTAAATAGCCTGCAACCTTTATGCTGTGGATATTCTTAGTCAGCTTTAGATATTCTAATCGCAGGTAAATGTCAATCGTTTTAATACTTATGTAATACTAGCTGTTCCCGTGCGACTTCATCCGTATGAAATTATAAAAAAATATTTTATTGTTTACATTTGTCAAATTATCAATTACAAATGTCAAATGACATGAGATAATGACAACCTTGCTTCCTTGATGTTGGCAGCAACTTATGGTCTCTTTCCCACATTAGGGTTTTTATCCAAAATATTTACCCCCTAAGTTTAATGGCGGTAAAATATATAGCCTAAAGCGTGACGCAAGTGTAGGGATTTTAATTAAAAAAAGAATGATTCAAAAATATGCCGTAATTGCTAACATCATAGGCAACAGAGAAGTGTGTGTTTACGCTTTATTATAATAGTATAGATTGTACCTTACATAGAAATGAATAGTAGATATCAAAGGAATAAATGTATAAATACATAGATATATTAAAATTATCTAACTCAAGAGTCCTCTAGAAACGTGTGATTGCAATGGCGTAAGGAAACGTAATGTGGCTCTAAATATGTATGTAATGTAACGAGGAATGAAGACAATTTTTGTTGCCACGCATTATATGTTCAGACTTTGTAGCAATTGGCAAAAAGTAACGATATTGGTATTGAATATATTAACCAGCTGTCCCGCAAATTTCGTTAGCGCAAATGTGGACAACCCGTTACGTCATTATAAATAAATAAATAAAATAAAACACTATTTATTGACCAAAAAGAAAATAAAAAGGAACATAACTTACAATTATTAATGAAATAAAAATAAAAATACAAACTCTTGGTCAAAAGGAAAAGGCTCAGCTGATGCGGCCTCCAGCTTGTCACTGAAGGCCGCGCTGGTTTTCCGCCTCCCCTAAACTACTATAACATGGTTCAGTTTATAATACAGGGGGCAGTTGAGATATAATATAAGCCATCATTGCACTTACGTGTGCTTGTGTGTGTGTGTGTGTGTGTGTTCCTGTGTTGCTGTGCGTTGTGTGTTATGACAGCGCGGAATTAAAAAAACGTAGCCTATAATATGCCATCTATGTCAGCTACCCTCCAGTGAAAGTCCCGTCGAAATCGGCCCAGCCGTTTTGGAGAATACCTGGAACAAACGTGGTTTGCGGACAGACAGACAAAATTTTTTTAAATGCGATTTTCGTTGACACCAACATATAATTAATTAAAAAATTCTAATAACTTAAAATTAATTTTCATATATGTATGTATTGATCCATACAAATGTTTTGAAAGTTATGATCATATTTCAAATCTTACTAATATTATTAATGCGAATGTTTAGATGGATGTTTGTTAGATTTTGTAGCCTAAATAGCTAAACAAATCTAGATGAAATTGGCATAGATGTAGAGAATAATCTGGAAGAACACATAGGCTACTTACTTTTCTTTTAATTCCACGCGGACGGAGTCTTTCGCGAAAGCAAATATTTAAATACGAAGCATTCATTTCATAATTTAAATAAATCTAAAGTTGAGTAAAACTTGACAATAATTTTACATTATAATCCTTACTTAAAACATCATTCATAATAAGTGTTACAAACAAACATTTTAATTCCAATGTCAAAATAACATTTAGACATAATTGAGTACAGAACGGCACACGGGTTCGTAATCCGGAGGGTTGTTTCGATCCCGAGTATTAGGCCTCTAACTAAGGATGGATTACGCAAATTCGTTACACTAGCCTCAATTTCTGACCGTCCAATTGGACTGGAGATCATAAAGTCTTATTATATTATACTAGCCGTTGTCCGCGAATTTGTACGGAATTAAATAAATTTATTAAGTAGCCTTTGTGTTACATCTACGACAAAAGTCATCGAAGACGTTCTTGAGATAAGTTGTAACAAACTATCAATGGAAACTATCTTATTTATAACATTACTAGCTTTTGGCCACGACTCCATCTTCGAGGAATTAATAAAACACAAAAGTAGCCTCTGTGTTCTTCCAGAATATTCTCTACATCTATGCCAAATTTCACAATTTTAAACAATTTAAATATCATCTAGGTTACAAAACAAAATCACTTTATACTCGTTATCGTTGATCGCAATACCTTTTTCCAACAGACGTAAATCACGTGAAAGAAAATGTTACATTTAGTACCTAATAAAGTTTATAGGAGTTGCCTGTCTGCGTAACAGACACGAGATAAGTAATCAGTCTTAAGGTAAGGTTCTATTCAAACTAACTATTTTTTATAGTACAAGGGGCAAATGAGCGGCGGGAACACCAAGGTGATGAACTACAAAAATGGATATCTGCAACACCAGAGGAACTACACATACGTGGCCAGTCTTAGAGAAAATGTTAGACTCGCTTTTTGAAGGACCAAACCGTACTGGTTTGAAAATACCGCCCAGGACAGGCCATTCCACCACGCGGCTGTGCGAGGCAGAAAGTTTCATGAATACCGTAAGGTTGTGGAACTGGGTTTTCATTGTCAAACAGATGGAAAATAGCTACAGTCAATCTGGGTAACTTTGACATACTAGGTAAGGTTGACAAAGTTATTGGTAAGTTGAATGTATCTGCATGAAGTTAGTATTCATTTGATTCTAAAATTAACCAATGCCGATTGCTGGCTTCGCTGTAACTCCACCCACGCTGTAGCTTTTGAAAGTTATTAAATTTTTAATTTATTTATTCTGCAAATTTAACTGTCCGTTTTAAATGTATTTTTCACGTATTGGACTTCTATTTCATTTAGTTAACCGTATTTGCTATTACCAGATGTAACTGTCAAGTTCAAATTAAAAAAAAATCAGTTTCAAATCAAAATCAGTTTGTAATATGAATGTGTGAATGCGTGTTTCCGGACAAAGATGTAAGAAGGTTGTTTCTAAACGCTTTTTAGAGTAAATGATTGATTTGACTGACGTAAGATAGACTGGAGTGAATATAGGAAGAGACAAGTAAAGAAGAGATAGCCGTAACCTTTCTAAGGTAAAACGAAAAAAAAAGTAAAAGCCCTGTAAAAAAAGGGTTAAGGGTGAGAAATAACGTGATTAAAGAAGAAGACTGTTTATTTTACCGCCCCAAGTTAACATATAAGAGAAATGAGTTACATCATTATAAAAAAATAATCTCAAGCTCAAAATGGGTTACCGGTTCTTGTAAGGCTTGTGGCAATTTAAACTGAGCTACAAACTTCAAAGTCCGCCCAAGTAAAGCTTTTAGTTACAAGGTCCAAGAACATGTCCTACTTGTATCTTAATTAAGTTAAACTTTACTATAACTTTAGACTATAAGGAAGGAGAAAGACTTTAAATTCTACATTTTTATATATTTTCCTCTTGCAACATAAAAGTCTTAATGAAATTATTGCCAATAATCGAAAATAATCTAATGCATATAGTAAAATTGGAGTGTCTGTTTGTAATATGAAAATAAAAGTTAGGAAAGATGATGTATTTGTGTTGCTGATAACGAAAATCGCATTTATTTTTATTGTCTGTCTGTCTGTCCGCTTGCCAGATTTGTTCCGGGTAATCTCCGCATCGGCTGACCGATTTCGACAGGACTTTCATTTAAAGATAGCAATGGACATGCATATGCATGCTACTTTTTTTATCTTAATATTGCGTGGATGAAGTCGCGGGCAACATCTAATAATAAAGTAAATAAATGAATTCATTTATTTAACAAGATACTGGTTACAAAAAAATTGACCCAGAGCCTGTTGCAAGACCAGCTCTCCAATAATAAAGGACTTAATTATTTCTAAGCCACAGTTTTTTATCAGTCAAAATAACACCTGCAGCTCGTATGCGAATGAAGCGTTGATTTCGAGCTGTAACTTATTTATAGTCTAGATAATAACAAAGTTACGATGCTTTTACATTACGATGAGCCCGTCATATCCACGAGTAGCGTAAGGTAATTAATTACGATTATTGGCAAGAACATGAAAGACGCCGTAAAGGTTTTATTAACATAATTCACGTTGCAAATATCTCAAACTCAAACCCTTAACAACGGAACGAGGCTATAAATATTCTTAATGAAATTAAAATTTGTTACGTTTAGTGCCTTGATTAAAAAAATACATCTTTCTAAAGAACTGTAATAAATACATATGTAATTTATGAAATTTTGCAGTTATTTTATAAAAGATTCTTAAGATAAAATAATTACTAATCCTTGTAAACTATCTCACGTTGTAAGGGTTTATGTTCGTCTTTAAATGTAATTAAAAATATACTCTAACACGCTTATACTTAAACTAAGAATCAAATCCTTAAAACTACATGAAAAAATATTCGTATCATATCTAGGATTAATTTTTAAAATTTAACCTATACGCTATAAATGTAATTTTAAAAATAAATCGTTAAAAAACAAACATACCATTCTCTTAAAAATATCTTGTCAGTATTTCAATGAAGGTCCACAAAAATCACTAAAACTCAACTTTTACTTTACAGCAAACTTAAATGAAAAAAACATTACATCACATTTGCTTAATTAAAAATTTTGCACTGAAATTTTAAAAAAAAAAGTTATTTTTCCGAACGTCCGAAGGCTTCTCGCAGTAAGGAAAAGCGTGCGTACCCGACGACGGTCGCCGCTGAATGGAGCCGAAGCACCTGTTGGGTGAAGCCTCACTCACACAGGCCCGAGCTGCAGCTACAGCCTTCAATATTAATTAAAGTTCCATCGGACGATACATGTTCAGTTTTCATTTTACTAAATGCGTTACATTACGCTCACACGTATTGTATTGATTTTTACGCGGTATAAAACCGAAGTAAATGAATGACCTAAAGAGGAAAAATGTTCAATGGTGGTGCGAAAAATTGAGTGTACTCATTTTTTTTCGCACCACCAAACTTCGGCATAAAATTTTTAAAGTAAATGTAATTAAAATTTTAAACAATTAACATTTTACTAATACTAATTATAAAATGCTACAATTTTTATGCATTAAAAATACTAGATTTTATAAACTTTTTCTGCAGCACTGTATATTGCATTAGTAAAGATTTAAGTCGAAAAGAGCCAACACATGTGGCTACATAAAAAAACATTTCCTTTTTCTGGCGAATGTATTTCCAGATCAGAAGAATAATTTAACTGACGTTATTTACGATTCCTTTTTACTCCAAATCTACTTGATTTCTTCCACGAAATAGCTACACATTTACTTTTAATAATGTATGAAGTTAAATAATTTGATTTAATTTTTTTCAAAATAAGAATAAACAATTTTTTTTTATTTCAATTCAATTAATTCACGCTATAAATTGAAAAATAACTGAGATGAGTAGATTGTTGACAATTTGCAAAACATTTTTGGGTTTTCTCTATATTTTTTTTTCAAAAGTTCAAAGCCCTTGATACGTAAAAGACGAAAATAAACTCAATGGCGCAAATAACTCTCTGAAGCACTAATTACCGTAAGAAAGTTGATTGAAAACATTCAACGCAAATTAGAGTGGGCTATTACTTGCCTTGTATCCAACTTTTCGCTGTAATGACTACAATTTATTTATTTTCGTAACAAAGTAACTCAAAAAAGGAAACCAAACGGTCCACTTACTCGAAAATTAATCTTTATTGCCTCCATTATACGGGCTATTTATTGTAACATTATGACTAGAACACATTATTCTCTGCTTCCACGATTACTGCGAAATACAATTTCTTTAACAAAAAAAATTAACATTCGACGACCGACACACTCAGAATCTTTTATGAGTCACTAAGGGTGATTGTTAGTCTTGATAAAATATGAAAAAATCGAAATTAAGCTATAGTTAAAGTAAGAAATATTCGATTCCTTAACAGTACGGCTACATTCGTAATGCGTTGTTGTGATATTAACCTCGTGTTCAATCTAGGACGTTACTTGGCCATATAGTAAAACCGTCGCGATAAAAATTGAACAAAAAATCAAATTAGCGAAGTGATAAATAACTAGGGACCGATAAAATACTTTTAATTTGTGCTACTATATAAGCATTTGTATTATAATAAGGTTGTTTATCTAGGTCGGTCAACTGTCTTACTATCTTACTAATGTTATAAATACGAATGTTTAGATGGAGGATTGTTAGAGTTTGTAGCCTTAACCGCTGGACGAATTTCGATAAAAATTGGTGTAGATGTAGAAGATAGTCTGGAAAACCAATACACACTTTTTTTAATTTCATTCAGACGGAATCGCTAGCTTTAGTTAGTAATTATATAAATGTAAGAATGGATGATTGTAAGAACAGTATTACGATTTTTTTCTTTATTACACTTTATTCCTATTTTCTTTGTTACGCTTTTATCTTTTTTTTGCCCGGCTAAGAGTAGGGTCATATCTCTCGTCGCTCATAGGTATGCATGTTCATTATATTGTCTTCTCCTGAAGTCTGTACTGCTTGACCGATATATGAAGTGTCATTCGTTATCCAAGTATTCTTCTACGGAGTATCATATTGTTTAAATTAAAAGTTGCTTGTGTCGAATGTGGTTTTATTGATTCGAATAACGAAACGACTGTTGTCCGAAGACATCCGCAAGAGTATAAGTTAAGGGAGGAGGGAACGCACAGAGAGAGGATATTACCTCCTCATATGCGATTCAAATTGCTTGAAATTCACACCCCTTTCCTTATACGGGAAGAATGAGAAAGGACTGTGGATTTAAATTAGGTTTCTAACACATATTTATTAGACAAAACTTGAAATTGCTTACACTTGACCCCCGTTTTCTGTGTGTTCGTAGTAACACATCCAGCAAGCCCTATTTGTGCAATATTCTTGCGTCTTTCACTGTTGAAAAATATAGGTATAATGTTAAAATAAACGTGCTCAGAGACACGTTTGGAATTCATAAGCCTGCTTCAATATTTAACCGACGAGCAAAATTGTTTAAATAAAAGGATTTTGGTGTCACACAAGCGTATTTATGTACACAAAACTGAAAATAACATTTTTTTAAAAACTAGACTCCAGATTTGTATTATATTATGCAGGGAATTGATAATTTAACTATGGGGCTTCGAATCAAATGAATGTAACATGCACAATTTCACGACAGTTACAGGCATGTGCTGGAACACACGTGTATATAAGAACGCTAAGTTTAAAATCAGTACATGGCCATTCAAGTGGCTAGTATATTTGATTTTTTGATAGCTACGTGCTAGTAATTTTAAAGAGGGATAAAAACGTGGTACGAAACTATACACTGACGTCTCGTTGACAACTTACTGGGATGTGTGAACGAATTGTGCCATAGCTGTCATGCCAGCTTATAAACTTCGTATGGCATGTGAATATCCTTTAAAATCGGAGTATCAATTTTGAAAAACGACCGCATGTCAGTTTAACCGCAAACAGCAACGATGAATCGAGCTTGTCAGGTATTTTCTACGTAGATTTATTACGCAAAATGAAAATAAACGTGCGTGCACGATAAATCTGCATGCTAGAGTTGCCACGGTAAAAATTAATAGCCTTCACATATTTTTGTATACGAAATATTCAACATTCGCCATCTATATTGTTATCTGTGCAACAGACTTTTACGAATTTGTTTTTGTCAATATTTTCATTCGAGTTTTACTTCTGCCCCTTTTCTTAATAAAAAAAATCAATACGACTTTATCAGTTCAGTATTTTCGAAATTAATTCCGGTATATTAAATTCTAGATAAGTTTAAATGAAACCACTTACAGTATCAGTGTGTTTGCGGATACATAGCCGACTATCGTATATTGAACATTCAAGATTTTTGTGTAGGCGATTTCAATATTGTGAAACGAAGATCTGAAAGCATTTCTTGTGAAATTCTAAACCGGACAGTGCAATATAGGAGTTTCTAAAGGTTACTTTTAAATTAAAATGCTGGATCTAATATCGAATAGAATAGAAATTACAAAAAGAAATGTATATTTTTTAAAATGTTACTCAACATTTTGTTATATTCAACGAACGTATTTTACTTAATAATCCGGATTAGATTTCAAACTCCAAAGAAGATCAACAACGACGAAGATATTCTTCCGACGTTGAAAACTTAATTCCGCTTCAGAACTTTCTTTTTTAATTATCACTGTTAAACTTTAATAGCAAAGTTTCTATATAGTGATTTGTACATTTCAATCACTAGGAGTGTAAACAATTTAACAGACAAATAATATGTAACTAGCAATTGCCCGCGACTTCGATTGATATTAAAACAGGCCTATGTTATTCCTGCATACATCATACCTTGCTGTAAAGTCCCATCAAAATTGGTCTAACCTTTTCAGAGATTACTTAATATGCAGATTTTATTTTGGTATTATAAACATAAAGTTTGTTTTAGTCAGTAATTTTAAATCTTTTATGAGTAATATTAAAAGAAAATCCAGGAAATAGTGAAAGGAAATTGTTAGAAATTTCTCCATACACGTGTTACTTGCCGAGATTTCACAACGCCCACGTACTTGATTATGAAACGGCTGCGTAGGATTGGATTACTTTTAACTCAAATCAAAACAATACGTTCTGAAAAATAAACCCGAGGGCTGCTGACATACACGTGCCATCCAATTTATTGCAGTTGAAGGATTACAGTTTTTTTTTAATAATTTTTCTGGTATGAGACCTTTTTTGTTAGATTACTAGGAGTACAATTTAATTTATCTACTAGCTTTCGCCCGCCATACTGTCCGCGTGGTATCAACAAAAACAAAAGCGAGTAGCCTATGTGTTGTTACCAGACTATACTCTACATATATGCAAAATTTCATTGAGATCCGTTCATCTATTTAGGCTACAAATTCTAACAAACATTCATCGATCTATCTAAACTTTTGCATTTATAATATTAGTAAGAAGTAAGATAGTAAGGCAGTAAGATTTATTCAACCACTCTAATACTAATGAACTAAAGAAAATGGTAATTATAATACAAAGGTATTTTTCAGTCCAAAAGTTTTTTTAATCACATATAAATATATTATTATATTTAATATACTATTAAAATAATAGAAATCATTCAAATAGTAAAAGAAAACAATATATTTTCTAATAACTTAAGTTAAAAATAGACACAATAACATTTATAATGAAATTGTTACCTTTGTTAAACCGTCTTAGATTACAACGTTCTCAAGATTCCGTCTAATTTTGGAACAAACTCCAGCTACTTATTCCTTTATTAAATTGATAAAGCCCTTCTTTCGTAGTAAAGGGTACAAGAAGATACATCTGTTACAGACAGTCATACTATCATACTAATACTAATATTATAAATATGATAGTTTAGATATATGGATGGATGTTTGTTTGAGTTTGTAGCCTAAACGGCTAAACGGATTTCGATGAAATTTGGCATAAATGTAGAGAATAGTCTGAAACATCACACTTTCGTTTTTTGTAATTCCACGCGGACGGAGTCGCGGGCGAAAGCTTTAACACTAGCTTTCTAATAATGTTAAGATTTACTAATGTTTGTAAGGAAAATTATTGTCAATAAAATTGTTTTTTCTCGGGGCATTATTATAAACGAATTAAGAAAAGCTTGACTTAAATCTGGTCGTACTGTGACAGCATTTTCAAATTTCGGACGTCGGGT